CCTGAACATCCTTTGAAGCCAGCATGGGTGCAGCTTCTAGAGTTGCAAGGGAGTGCAGGGTCTTTCCTCAATCTGAGACATTGGCCTTTTGATCCATCACCGTCCCTGGCTGTTTGTGGCCTTGACTCAAGGAAATAGCATCTTGTTCAGTTTGTGAGACCAAGTTAAGGTTACCATATGTCTAGGTTTCCCTGGACGTGTCTTTTTTTTTTTTTGGCCCTCTGTCCTCTTGTCCGGGCAGGTTTTTAAAATGCAAGGAAATGTCTGGGTTTTTGCTCTGCCTCTGTTTTTCCCCAGTACTTGTGACTTGGGTGCTTGGGGCTGGGAGCAGTGGGGGAAGGTGATTGGCTGTTGGGGATCATGTGCTCTGTATGTGGGTCCTGGCAGCTGCTCGCAGGTAAGAGAGATGATGAGAGACAGACACAGAGGCAGGGGCACCAGCAGAGCTGGGGGGGGCAGGGGCTATGGGCTGGGGGGCAGGGTACAGTTGGTCAGGAGTGAGAAGCAGCAGCAGGGCTGGGGGGCCTGTGGCTTAGGAGTGAGGGGCAGAGGCAGGGCACAGGCAAATCACTGCCTCCCCCCCAATTATATATCCTCCCCACCCCCACCCCCCACCAGTGTCCTCTTTTTCCATATTGGAAATATGGTAACTCTGAAGTGCAACCTGAAGTTCCAAACAGCAAACAGACAACTATGCTTCAATAAAGGCATTTAATGGGGCAAAGGCCTCCCAGCCAGAAGTTGCCTGCAGCCTTCCCCCTTCAAAGAGTTAAACAGTTTTTTTATCCCCAGTTCAGCCTCCACAGCCCAGAGCATCCCTAGTGATTGCTCAGCTGTTTCCTTCCAGCTCCTGAGCCCTGGAGCTTCTCAGTTTGTCTTTCTTACTTCAGACTCTCTCCTCTGATTGGTCCTGCCAGGAGCTGACACCCTGCTTGTTCACACACTATTCTCCCTTGTTATGTTTTTATCTCTGTCTTCCCTTTTGCAGCCTTGGGCCCACCAAGCCCAACTGAACCATCATCATAGCTACTAAAGTCCTGTTAATACTGAAGATTCCTCTTGTCTTGTCCTGTACATAGGCCACTATGGCACTTATTAATCCTTCTTTCCCTCTATACTAGCATTATAGATGAAAATGAGTTGCGCATTATAACAACATGAACAGAGTTAACGCAGAAATATTTCAATAAGCCCCATGGTTTGACACATCAACTAATGTTACTTTTTGTTTTTTTCCAGTAAAGTTTAATATTTTAGTCTATTGATAAATGTAGGTGTTTCCATAATTGGGAGTATATTTTCAAATAATATAGTGGTTCCCATTGCTTTATTAATGTAGAATTTATTTGAATCACAAATTCTTAAAAATGACCTTGCTGCCAACTAGCTGGTCTCTCTGTAAATAAAGCCATAACTCTGAAACTTACCTGATGTTTGGTGGAAGCTTTTGTTGAAAATATTTGTTCCGTTAGGCAGCTGATTGCTCTGTTTTCTTTAGCAAGTGTTTACTTAATATAGCTCTTAAAATTGTGAGAATTAAATGATAAAAGCCGATGAAATCAATCTTCCCCTTAGATAAATAAGGCCACACATTGTGAACAGTGAAAGAAACTAAATAAAAAACACTTCTGTGTAAACACATGAAACAGGAGTGTGATACTCATGGTCACTTGTTCACTTGCTGGGGGGAGAGAGGCTGGGGGGAAGGAACAGTGTAGAATTTCTTCCTCTTTGGTGCCCTCTATATGTTACATGTATTGCACAATTACCTGGTTGATTGCACAATTAATTTAGACCAGCTACATATACAAATCAATTATCATGCCTTAAAAAAGTCTATCCAGCTATAAAGTTAGAGCTGGAAAATGTGTAATAACTTCATAGCTGATTTCCATCCAGCTTTAATTTGAACATATAGAATGGCTGCGCCCCTGTGGCGGGGAGTCCCATCAGCTGATGAGACTCAGATGTGGCAGCACTTCAAGTCCTGTTCAGTGGGGCGCTACTGCAGAGTCTTGTCAGCTGTGGGACTCCCAATTGTGGGAGCTTGCTACTAGTATGCTGATGCAGGGGGAGCCTGGGCTCCCCCTGCATTAGGAATAAGGCATGATAGTATCTGATGCACCTCCTGCCATGCCACATGTGGGATCCAGCAATTATGTGGATTGCATGTCTGATCCTATCACGCCTTTTCTTGAATGCTTAGAGCAGTGGTTCTGAACTGAGGGTACATGTACCCCCAGGGGGTACGTGAAGCCTCATCAGGGGTACGTGAGATATATTGCATACATTGTCTAACAGGTTGAAGGGCCTAAAAAAATTCCCATTGAAAAGCGGTATGTGAAGTCTCACTTTGGGACCAAGGGGTACGTTGACTGAAAAAGATTCAGAACAGCTGGCTTCGAGGGTCCCTTTGTTCTACACCTGCAGTTAAGTGTTTGTTGCTCTTTTTGGAGGGTCAGTGCTTCATGACGGGTAGCCTGGCTTTCCCAGTTGAGGATCTCTTGCCTTTGGGATTACTCAGCTTCACAATTTGAATCGATTAACCTGTGGGAACTGTAAGGCAAGGTATTTTATAAATTCCTGGGCTGAAATGTTCTTTAGCGCTTGTCTTGCCCAGTTGTCTTTTATATATGCTTTAAGAACCAGAGAGAGCTGCAGCAGGTGAGTAACATGAACCCTTCATTTATATTTGTAAATATTATATATGCTATATTTTTATTTGTAAAAAGCTTACCAAACTGAAAAGCAGTATCAGGAATTTCAGTAAGTTTAATAACAATAAAGAATCTCTTCTAAAAACTAATGTCATTTTTATTTTTAATTTCAGGATTGTGGAATCTTGCTTCTCTTTTTTCCAATCTTTGCTTGTTTGTGTTGATGCCTTTTGCCTTCTTTTTTTTGGAATCAGAGGGATTTGCTGGCTTAAAAAAGGTGAGAAAATATTAACATTGATGCATGTGGAATAAATTCCATTGCAGTTCCAAAGCTGTAATTGCCATAATATCAAGCAGTTTTTCATTTATTTATTTAGTTAGCTAGTTATTTATATGTATACACAGATATTGAAACCATGTTACATGTGTGTGCAGAAAGAAAAGAACATGATACACGTAATTGTTACACCTGTGGTTCGATTAAAAATTTCAGTTGCTGTCCTAAGGAAACTTGTCTATTTATACTGTAGCTAGACTTGGTTAGCTTTTAAAAGTTAGTCAGCTATTGTTATGGACCCAGATTCAACTAATATTTTTTTAACTTAATTTCTTGACAGTTGCTGAATGAGGATGATTAATTTTGGTGGCATGATTTGTAAAAGGTAGTCTGCAGTCAATTCCTTGAATAGAAAGTAGAGGATATTCAGTAGAAAGTGGGGAAAGAGAGACTTACTGAGCGTCTTTGAGTGAAGATAAAAAGAACGATTGTTGTGGGGTAGGGTTTACTAAAATGACGGTGACATATGTCCTGGTTTGGCCAGGACACTCCTGGATTCCATAGTTTGTTCCCATGCAGTTGGTCAAAAGTCCTGGGCTGGAGTCCGGCGGGGAAATGGAGTGGCATGGTGCTTCCTGCAGGTGGTCAGTCAAGCACTGCTGCTGCTGCGCAGGAGTAAGGACATGCCAGGGTGGCACCTGCACCGGTCTATCCACCTTGCTCCCGTGCAGCAGCATTCAACAAGACCAGTACAAGCACCTGGGACAATATAACTGCATGCACAAGTAAATGATTGGGAAATGACTGGCTAGGCTGCAGCAGAAAAAGACCTTGGGGTTACAGTAGACCATATGTTGAATATGAGCTGGCTATGAGCTCTTGCTGGGGAAAAAAAACTAGTGGCATGCTGGTTGTATTAACAGGAGTGTCACTTGCAAGTCAAGGGAAGTGATACTTCCATTCTTTTCAACACTGGTGAGGGTTCATCTGGAGTACTGTGTCCAGTTTTAGGCTCTATGCTTTAAGAAGGGTATGGACAGATTGGAGAGGGTTCAGTGTAGTAATTAGCTGAAAATCAAAACAGAATTGTATAAAAAAATGGAAACAAGAATGAATGGCTAAGGATGAATATAAAAGACTAGCACGAGCAAGTTTTGACAAAATCAGGCTAAGGCTTAAAACTACAAAGGGATTTAAAAAGGCTGATTAGAAAATTATAGATAAATGTAAAATATGCAAGAGGCAAAGGGTATAGGCCCACTACTCAGCATGGACCATAAATGAATGGTAGATGACAAAGAAAGGTGAAATGTTTTTTTGTATGCTTCAGTCTTCGCAAAAGACATTAACTAATGCTTATCTCAGTGTTAACAAAAAGTGGAGAAATGAGTGTCATCAATTCCAGAGTAGATTTAAAAAGCTGGATTTATTCAAGTTGGAAGACATGATGAAATATAATCTAGCATACTTATGGAAGTATATAAAGCTGTCTCTGAACCATTATTCACCTGTCTGTCATAAGATCCTGAAATTCCAGAGGACTGGAAAAGGGTAAACAATAGAATCTGTCTCCGGTTTGTAAGTAACTTGTAACATCATAAAGTGACAAATAGTCAGCATGGATTTGTCAAGAACAAATGTCAAACCAATTTGATTTCCCTGTTTTGACTCTGCAACTGATCAAGTGCAGTGGTGCTTGATCACCAGGGCTGTCTGGTAAAAACAGTGCTTAACCAGTAGGGCTGTGCAAAGCTTTGGTAGCCGATTTGATTTGGTGGAGATTTGGCCCGATTCAGTGGCTGAATCTCTGAATCCAAATCAAGTTGGGAGACCAGTTAAAAGGTCCGAATTGAATCAGAAGCTTCTGAATCGATTTGGAAAGTATTTGGTGCTGCTTCGGAAATTTGGCCATAGACTAAACAGGCATCAGTCCTCACCATGCTGGACACAGCTGCCTGTAGTAAGTGGATGGGGGAGGAGAGGGGCATGGTCGGGGGTGGGGGGCAGATCAATGCCCCCACAACGAGGGTGGGATTGGGGCTGGGGCTGGGAAAAGCTCCTCATGCGGGGTGGGGGGAGTGGGACTTGTGGAGAAGGGCTTCTGCCGCTGCATGCCACCATGCACCGCTGGTCCGGGAGGGCATGGGAGTGGGTGTGTGCCCTTGGATCTTTTTCGGGCGGGCTGGGTTGTGCTACAATCTGGGAGGCTATCCCCCATTTACTGGGAGCAAGCTGTGCCTGCATCACAAATCCCCTCCCCCCTCAGCCTGGCTGGGCAGGTGGCAGCAGGGCACAGTCCCCGCTCCTCACATTGCTGTGCCTGTATCCTGCGCCCCCCCTCCCCTTCAGGGCAAAACCAGGAGGAAATATCAAGCAGTGTCCTTTAAGAGCTTATCTTGAATCCAGTATTAAATATTTTTATTAACTTTAGGTTGTGGAGTAGAGAGTATATTGAGAGTAGGGAGTGCATATTTGACGATGACATTGTGCTAGGAGCAGTTGAAATGCTTTGGAGGACAGGATTAGAATTTAGAATAATCTCAAGGAATGGTCTGAAATCAGTAAAATAGAACTTTAAAAAGCAGGTGCAAAATACTACATGCAAGAAGGAGAAAATTTCAAATCCCTACTCTCAATATACTCTCTACTCCACAACCTAAAGTTAATAAAAATATTTAAT